ACATTCTCGCTTTATTCTTTTTCTTTTTTAGGGTGGGTTTCCCTGTTCGCTATCCTTATTTTTATAGTTGACTAGAAGCTGTATTTTGTAGCAAAACATCCTTCAAAGTAGGGACTAACAATCTGTCCCAAGCCGCCCTTTGCTCTTCCTCTGGATGAGAAGTAGGGAGAGAAAAGAAACTCACAGCTACTGGGACTCGCCCTCAGGGCTGGCGCAGTCACTGCCTTCAGGTCAGCTTCTGTCAGCCTGAGCACCTGCACTCTCCAGAGAGCACTGGCTACAGCCAACCCTACACAGATGCTGCCTCAAGGCACTCTATGGCTTCTCTCTCTACAAAGACTCTACTGGGAAATCTCTCTTGGTAATCCCTGTGCGTAACACCCAACAAGAAACAAAGTGACTCCTATGATAATGAAACAGGGCCAACCGGCTTCCAGCGCAGAATTAAACAGACAGCCTAACCCATTCTCTCGACTTTAACCATATGCTCCTTTGTCCCCAAAAAGCAGGTTTTGCTGTTTGAGAAGTACACAGGCTTGAAGATCTGCTGGAAGCTTGCCTGTGTTTCACGTGGATCTGAAAGTGGGATACAATTGAGTTTGAGGAGAAGTCAGCCATGTCAGGCAAGCTGCAGGAGCCAGAGGCACCGCGGGTTGTGTGTCCCTTTAAGAGAGGATACTTTCAGCTCCAGCCAGAATTGCCTAGGGCTTTCTCAGCAGCTAAGCCTCTCAGCAGAGTGCTGATTACCCTGGCACTAGAGGGAAAAACGATGAATATATTTCTTCTCAGAGATACCCTATCTAGATTTTGACATTTTATTTATCTCAACCTTTAAGCTTATCTTGCCCCAGTATGGTAAAACGACCGGCTCTACCAAATCTCAAAGCTTAACCCACTGCAAGATGGAGAAGATTCTGAGGTGTAGTTAATCATTCTGTGTCACATCATCCCCTTGTCCTCTCAGTTTGATTCCCTGAATGAAAAACAACAGAAAACAAAACAAAATCAACAACTTGCTCCAGGATTAAGGTGTAATCAATGACAAGACCAACTGGGGCAAAAGCTCATTAATTTGGTACAGCAGCGTCTCACTCTGTCATCCAGGGCTTGTTGACTGAGGGAGGTTTAAAGCCCTAGGGCATCACTACACGGTCAGTGGCCTCCTGGCCTCTCTCCCATTCTAACACCCCAAAGGCATTTGCCACTTGCCCCTTTTGACTATTCAGCTGGTAAAAGCTGTAAAGACTAAGGGCTCAATTGAAAAGTGCAGGTGTCTATTTGTCAGACAAGAAGCCATTTCCCTGTTGCCCAGTATTTTTCTGGAGTAGGGCAAATGCTGCTCAGAATGTCACAGTGCTTTGAAAACCCTACTATATACTGATATATATTATATACTATATATATATAACTATATATGTAAAATATATATAATTAAAATTTTGTTTGCTTATGTACAGAAAGACCCACCAGAAGGCAGATGGGACTCTGGAAGATAGATAAGCAGTGAAATGATTGAAGTTTATTAACTAACATGCCTGTAAGTGTGTGGACATTATTTACAAGTTGTGTGACCTTGGGCATACTATGAAAATGAATTGAGAGGATACAATAACGCATGTCTAGCACTTAGCATTGTGCCTGATACACAGCATGTGCTCAACAAAAGTTAGTTTTTATTATTGTTGTCATTATTATCACTATTACCAGCATCATTGCCATTATCATTAAACCAGCAAGGTGCTGGGTTTAAGGACTTAAAGTCTAGTCGAGAAGACAAAACATACACAGGAGCAACGTAAAGAAGCAACACATCTCATATCTTTATTACAACACTTATGGTTGTATGACAGATTGTCTATGACATTAGATCTTCTTCTGCGATCTGGCAGCGCTGGGTGGCTGCTTAAGTACCATATTAAGTACAATTACATAAGGCAGGTTACATGTAAGTACATTTCTCTCTGACTGGAACTGTCCACAGATCTTTGCCCCCTCTCGACAATGAACACCTGAAGGCCAGAGCTTATGTGCTGTTGATCTATGTACTCACTTACCCGCCTCTCCTTTGACCACAACAATCTAAGGCCTAAAGGAGTTAATCAAACATCTTTCTTGAACAAATGAATGAGAAAGAAAATTATATATTGTTGACCATGCAGTAGAGATAAAATTGTAGTATTCTCTGGTCTGTTCAAAAACAGATACTTATCGAGCAACATCTATGTGTTAAGTCCAGTGCTCTGTGCTGTGGATGCCATGAGAATACCTAAAACCTACTCTGTGCCTCCGGTAAACCCCCAATTTTTGGCATAGGCTGGTTTTCTGAGAAGAAGGTAAGAGCTGATGTGGGAGAAAATGAGTCCACACTTGGCAGTCTAGTATCTTCAGGTAGGGCTGAACTAGATGACTCAGAACCATGAGGACCTCTCTTCCTGATCCCCGTCCTTGGCTCATCCAGGCCTGCCCCATTCCTCCTCTATATTAATACCCCCAAAGAGGTTCCCTAAAGACCACGTATGGGCATCATGAGCCGCTCAAAAACGCAAGCCCTACCAAACCACTTGTGAAGTAGTCTAAATCTTTTTCCTTCTCCTTGTCTCTTTTCTTCTCTAAATTATATTTTCACTAAGGCATGTGCTCTTCTACCAAAGTATTAAAATAAGTAGTTCTAATAGTATAAAACAGACATGGCAGTCATTTGCCACATATGACCTGTAGAATATATGACATGTATGACAAAAATGACTGTTGTGGGTATACTAGAAAAGTGAATATATGTGAGTATATGTCTATATGTATGTGTGTATATATATGTATGTATGTGTGTATATATTTATCTATGTGTGCGTGTATGTGTGCATATGTACATATTTCTCTAGTGAAATTAATTCTAAGACTGAAAAGTCAGCATGTCATTCTTGCCACACTTTGCCAAGCTTAAGCCCATGGAGGTTATTCCCTCTGAAGGGAGGCCTGATACTATCGGAAGGTGATATCATTTTTATTTCGCTAACCCCCTCCCTTAAGATCAGAAAAGAACATTCTCTCTACACTGGGGCATCAGTAACAATGCTCCAGCTGAGGGATAGAAGCACGTTGAACACGAGCTTCAGTAGTCTAGGACAAGCTGCTCCTCATGTCTCTCCAGCATGCCCTTCCCCCCGCTCAGGCTGAGAGTATGGCTGCTAAAAGCCTCTGTCCCACTGAGACAGAACTGCATATCTCTTAATTTCCTAATATGCCGACTACACTTTATATGGCAGATGCACTGCAGAATAAAAGCTGGCTTTTACTTTCATATATGTACATACATTAGAGAAATCTATCAAGGAAGCATAAGCTTACTCAGAGTCATGGAGATTCTGATGAAAAGGTACTGAATTTAAACAATACAGCAGGTGTCAGGCCCTTACTGCATTAAAGAACTGCGTTTTCTGAGGCTCCTACCAAACTTTCCACACTTTATTTCAGTTACATAATTTCCTTGGGGCAGAAACTCTACATAATTGACCTCCTAGCTGGAGGAGGAGTTCAATAATCTAAAAACCTGACAACAAAGAAAATAACAGGATCTATTCTTTTCTTTAGTCTACGAGAGTTTTCCTAAAGCTCAGAACAACTTATTTGGGGCTTCTTGTACATAGTGTCAAGCCTAATAGAAATAGATATTAAGTAAAAATAAAATTTAATGAACAATCCCTTTGTGGTGTATGGTAGATTCCTTTGTGGTGTCTAACCAAACCATGATCCTTTTCTTGTATGACACCTGCATTGCCCTATAAGGATAGGCCCTGCAACCAAATCACTATGGTGTAAATCAAGTTTCCCTCCCCAGTCACTGTTGACTGTACCAGGGGTGGACACCTAACACAGTAGAGTCTTTCTCCCTAGACCTCAGCACTGAGACTGACTGCCAGTATCTCCCAGTCAAGTGACCCGACAGGTGATGGAATCCTCCACTGATCTTGTGTGGTGGACACCCACAGCCTTTGTCTACACAAAGACCACACCCCGTTTTTCTGTTATTAGGATAACCACTTAGTCCTCGCATGCACGTGTGTGTGTTGGGGGTGGCTGATCAGAAGTGATACTTAACAGTTAGTTAAGTATCGTTATGACAAGGGCACTGACCAATCAGAACAGACTCTGGGCTTGCCGCCAAGCCAGTGATCACTGAATATTATCTCAGAGATTGTCTCCATCCTTTCCCAGACTCAGGGATTATAATGTGACCCAGGCCTGACCAATCAGAGTCAGTGTTCTCCTGGGCTTCAGAGATTGGTTCGGGTGTGGGCACATGACACAGGCTGGCGAAGAGGCAATCAGGAGTGAGATAAATAAAGCAGATTTTTAGAAACAAAAACAGAACATAATCATATAGTCTCCAAGAAAAAAAGGAGGCGAGAACAGCTGCCTGGGTTTCTGAGGACTTGCTTTTCTGGCGGTATCCAATGAATTAGTCTGTACCTAAAAGATCTGTAGCATTCATTTGAAATAGTATTTATTGCACATTCTATATGTGTGAGGCAATACAGCACGAATCCCAGAGATAAAGGTGTGCATATAAGTGTGTGTGCACACCTGCAGGACCACGGAAAGGAAGCCGTGAAAGAGTGTTGCACTGGTAGCATGCCTGGGTTCTGCAGACCTAGAAGTTGCGTTGATCCTCTCTGCAAAGTTACCTCCATTCTTTCACTTCGGCTGCAATAAGCTCACAGATCAGTGAGAACTGTGGGAACCAAAACGCATAAAGACAACCTAATGAACAGTTTAGCAAAAAGATCTGACTGTGACGAAAAGAAGGGGTCTATAAAGAAGGTAAGGATCTGACATGCCTGCAGATAAACTCCAAACCATGGCTAAGACAGAGAGCAAACAGAAGAAGGAAGCAGTACACATAACTACAAATCTTCCCACCTGGAAAAAGGGCATGAGGGAGAGCAATTGTGGGCATCATGTTTAAATAACACAGTAATTACTAGCTCAATTTATCCACGTACCTCCAAAGCGAGCTCTCAGTGATGCTCCCCAGGTTATAGTCATAGAGCTTTGTCAAAATGAGAATCACCTGAAGGCAAAAGAAGAAATCATGGTTAGTCTCAAACAATTACAGTCTCATAGAACTGAAATGGCCCAAGGGAGGGCTTAGGATTCCTTTAATGGGCGCTTAACATAATTGAATGAATTGTTACAGCCTTCTCTTACACTGACTGGGGAAAGGTTTGCCACTGCCTTCCATTAAACCACTCAAGCCTGATCCCCTTCCCAACTTTCTCCCTCCCTCCACTCCCCACCACACACTCACACTGCAGCAGGAGTTACCTGCCCATCCAGGCATTTCCAACTCTGGTGGGCTTAACACTATCAGGAAAGGCTCAGAGCTGTCAAACATGCACCCTGCAAAGTAGCCAATGAGCAGAATGTAGAAAGAGAGGAAAGTCAAGGATGTAGGTCCCAGCTCTCGTGGCTGTACCACACTGGGCAGGTTATTTAGCTTCTCTGAACCTTAATATCCCCATCTATTAAGGGGGGTGGTCAGTATTGCTTTCTCCCAGAAAAGGTTGCTGTGAGGAGTTAAATTACATAATAAATGCAAATTACTCCTCAATTTCCCTGGGGTTCTTAAATGTTAGTTCCTTCCCTTTCTTCTCCTCTGTAGGTTTGTCTTTATATGTTCTGATCTCTCAATTTCTGTGAAACCCATTGGATGGAAACCACAAGGGCTAAGCAACAGCATTTTAACAGGAGAAAATCTACGTTTTATGGGGTCGTGAAGCTTACAGAATTTGGAGAACACTCTATAAGGAACACAATATAAAAGTATGAATTCAGGGGCTGGCCCCGTGGCATAGTGGTTAAGTTCGGCATGCTCTGCTTCGGTGGCCCGGGTTCTTGTGTTCAAATCCCAGGCACGGACCTACACCACTGTCAGCTATGTTGTAGCAGTGACCCACATACAAAATAGAGGAGGATTGGCACAGATGGGAGAATCCGTGCCAGGGAGAATCTTCCTCAGCAAAAAATAAATAGAAGTATGAATTCAAACTTAGGATCAGGTCCTGGGAAGGGACCTGTGCAATTGAGGGACACTAAAACTTAAGCTTCATTAGCTTCACAGCAAATCCTCCTGTGATTTTAACCTATCGTTATTTTCAACCTCTCTTGGAGCCCAAACTATTTAGTTCATTCTTTCAGAATTCAACCAAATAAGCATTTATTAGGAACCCAGGATTTTGCCAATGTCAGAGGACATAAATACAAATGAGGCCTGGGAGTCGGTGATCCAGTCAGGACAGGAAGAGGACGTAAGTTGACAGACAGCTGATCTACCCCTTCTCAGTCTCACTGAAATTCATGCCCATCACGGCAGCTTGAAAAGGCCGCTTCTTTTGGCGTCTGCAGCGATGACCAGGGCCTACCTGATTACCTGAAGTAGACAAGCACCAGGACACTTGGGAAGATACAGCAGAGCAGTGTGTTCCTAACCACTGATGTTCTCACCCCTTCCTTATTCTTATTACATAAGGAAAAAGAATCTAACGGGTCTGCACAGCTTGCTGTTGAGGTTCATATTTCTCTCCTGATACTCATAACCTAGAACATTTGGCCCAGTCCTGCTGTTTCCGACTCAGTAGAAAAATGTTGACATGGATTTCCTAGATTTTTCTCTGAAGGCCAAGGGATCAGTTCTAGCCACTCTGAGCACAGAACATTCTAACCTTGAATTCCCAAAGCAGGGAGCTTCTGAGGAGTGCTGAATCCTTCCAAGTTCCACTGTGCTAACACAAGTCTTGAGTTACTGAAGCCACAAGCATCAATGAGCAGATTCTGAACACTTCTTTCACAGCAAGCAAACTGGAATTCCATGACCTTAGATTTGCTCCAAGTTCAAGGGAATAAAGAATTATGGTAACCCAAAGACAAAGGTAGAGAGATCTGAGGACCTGTGCTCTGAGGCCATCCCTCTCCTAAACCACAGCACCAGCTTCTTTCAAGGACCTATTCAAAACTTGCTTCTTTAGCAAAATGTGAGCATGTGTGAGGTGCTGGGCACCCTATGGGCACATCAGATGGCATGCCTGTGGTGGGGGCATATGCTTAACAGATCTGTGTGCCAATTAAGTCGCTCTAAGTGCTAAATTTCAATCACCACCATCCCAGGAACGCTGATCAGCAGCAGCAGGGTAGCTGTTTGTTTGAAGACACAGAGCAATGTTGCTGCTCCACCTCGGTACGATTTTGCCGAACAGGCCTATAAATCCCCTACCAAGAAAATGGGGGTGTGGGCATAAAGCATTTCTAGGTAGTTGCTCTCTTGATACAACACGGCAGTAAACTAAATAATGAACTTCAACTGGTCACAGGCTGCGCCTCCCATCCATCTGAAGAGGGAATTCAGAAGAGCCCCAAACAAGGAACTTTTTAACCCAGTATGTAATGGTGTGGAGTCCCTCACGCGCACACACACAGAAATTGTTTAAGCAATTCACAGGCAGGCGGGCAGGGAGGTAAAAATCCACTCCCTGACTCTTCTTGCTGGCCTAGTAAAACTAAAATGCCAGTGATATACTCGGCAGTTTATCAATACTGCACCAGAAGAGGCATCCTTAATGGCATTTCAAAGCATATCTGCTGGAATCAATCTAATCTTTCTGTTTTCAGAACAAGAACAAGTAGAAGGGAGAACTGCTAACCTTTAGTTATGTTTTCAATCGATTATTTGAAATCTCTCTTCCTCCCTTTTTTCCCTTCGCTGTCCATGTGCGTTATGTAGCACCTCACTCCTGGAGAGCAATGCGTCATTGTATTAGATCTGTTGGTTGTTGTTTCTTTGTTTTTTTGTTTTGGTTAATCAGCAATACTATTTAACAGAATTAGCACCTGTTAAAGGGGCCACAGCCAAAACCACCATTATAAGATGAGAAAAAGGGAAAAAGGCAATACTATTTTTGCGTATTTTTTAAATTAAAAAAAAAATAGAACTTTTTAATTAAGTGTCATGTTAGACATATTTAAATAATATATAAATGGTAATTTATTTTTATTTATTCAGCAAACAATTTTCAGGTACAGATTTAATTCTATGAGCCCAAGTGTATAGCATTTAATTATAAATCCAATCAATGAAAGCAAGGTTGTTTTGAACACACACTCACACAAAATGGAATATCCATCAGCATCTCGTTTCTTTTACATAGTACCAAAATACCCCTGATTCAAAACAATAAGTGGTGACCATATGGTAATAGCTTTTTTAGATTCCTCTTTAAATCTTAGGATACTTTTTTTAAATAGCTACAATCTAAATATTGATGGCTTGACAACTGCTACCTACATGTGCAGGACCTCAGTGCCCAGTTTTTTCTGGGGCTTTCCACAGTGACATGTCTAAGTACCCCTCAACCAATCTAGGAGCTGCTGTTACCACATACCATCTGTCTTGTTATTTTGCTGTGGCGCCTTCCTGCCATATCCATTGCTAACAAAGCTTCTGGGGGGAACTTCACTTTGTCCATACTTATAAAGAGCAGGCTGAAGCCCACCCACCAAGCTGCTATTCTCAAATCGTCCATTCCTCAGGGGGTGTGAGGGTGCCAGAAACAGGGCCAGGATGAGTGCGGGTCTTTGAGGGAGTGATCGTGGGCTTCCTCCACAGCGCTGAGTCACATTTTCACCACCTGGCTCACCAAACTATTATCCCTATTCCCAAGGTCTTCCAAAGCTCCTACTGAATGATGCCACCAACTCCAGCCTCTCATCCCTCACCTCTGCACATAGGTGTTAAGAAACCATCACATAAAGAAAAGATGGCATTACATTTAATATACAATGGAATATTAATTAACTGGCTATAAAAAAGAAGGAAATCACGCCATGTGCAACAACATGAATGAACTTGGAGGGCACTGTGCTAAGCAAAATAAGCCAGACAGAGAAAGAAAACTCTGTATGGTATCAGTTATATGTGGAATCTTAAACAAACAGAAAAACAATTTCATAGCAACAAAGAATAGAATGGTGGTTGGCAGGGGCTAGGGGAAGGGGAAATGGGGAAATGTAGATCAAAGGGCATAAACTTTCAGTCATCCAAAGAATAAGTTCTGAGGATCTAATGTACAGCATGGTGACTATAGTTAATAATGTGATATTGTATACTTGAAAGTTACTGAGAGTAGACCTTGAGCATTCTCAACCAAAAAAAAAAAAAAGCAAAAATGAAACACAAAGCGTTAACTATGTGAGGGGATGTATTTATTAATTATCCTGATCTTGGTAATCATTCCACAACATATATGTATATCAAGTCACTACGCTGTACACTTTAAATATATACAGTTAGATTTGTCAATTATTCCTTAATAAATTTGGGGTAAATAAAAGAAACCATCACAAAGGACCCTGGGGGAGGAAAATGCCAACCTGCTCCTTCCCTCTTCTAACCCCAACTTCTTTCTGCACTCAGTTGCAAAACAAAAGCATTCACAGAGGTGAATAAAGACACTAGTTTATAGATGATTGTGTTATAGTAAAACAACAAAAGCCAGTCAAAAATGTCCTGTTGTATCAAAACGGCAGGGCAAGCCTTGTTCCAGGTATGCGTTAGAATGAATTAACACAGCAGCAGGCTAAGATAATACATCGGCAGTTTCCATTATGCCAAGTATTTAGACATGGGACACCTTTGAATGTGACAGCATGGTTTTTTTTTTTTTTTAATTAATACAAAAATATAATTTAGAAACAAAACCCCAAACAGTTAAGGAACCCCTAAAACATCTTCCTGGTAACTTGATTCTACACAGTATACTTTTGAAAATATCTGTATTAATTACATACTAGACTACAGAGAACTGAAATTTATTCCAGCTTCCCAAAGTAACAACATAGGAATTGTCCATTTATTTTCTTAAGGAACAAACATGGTGTTTTGACCCTTTCCTTTGATAACTTAAAGAATGCACCCCAGAGGAAGGGGGAACGGAGAGTTGGGGGGGGGTCAATGTATTTCCCATTCCCCTCACCCCCTAAGGAATGCACATATTCCCCCATGAATGATCTCTCCTAATT